ATAAACTGTGTCTTCTGATACACTTCAGTAGAGTAAAACCACTGAAAAGACCTTCCTCTCAGGAATTGAAAACCAAGATAAAAGGGAGAAAAGAATGGCCACATGTGCAGAGAGGGACAGAGACAAGAGCTTCGAAAAGGACAGAGGCCAGCATGGATAGTACAGAGATACTCAAGATTAAGTCAAGATGAAAGAAATAGTGTGGATTTCAAGGAACTAGTAGGCAAAAATTTTGATTTATCGTTATTTGGAAGCAACAATAAAATTAAATAAAAACAATGTAACATGCATAAGACTAATCATTAAAATATAGTCATGAGTAGAAAATGGAACTATGTTGATTTAATCAGACAGACTTAATACTTTTTTTTATTAACTATTACTCAGTGAAGAACAAGTCGTTTCCACATCATACTTCTCCGGCATGTATGTATGTATCCCATAGTTTCTAGATCCTTTTGTTTGGATCTGCTTCGCTAATAAGTGATATTAGAACAAACACAACTACAGATAAAACAGACTATGTGATACTTATGTTTAGTTACTCTAAATATCAGTTAAAAAGCAATCATAGTATAAGACAAAGCCGTGGCTTATTTCATTCCTACAAAGTTTTAAGAAAAAAAGAAAACTGACTAAAACTTTGATATGCTAAGTTGACTCTTGAAATTTTATAAATACCATTTTCTGGGTGTTAGCATTGGTTACGTTATTATTGTTGTTGTTTATTTCATTTTAATGCAAGGTCCCAAAGTACAGACTGGATGGGCCTCAAATTCACTATATAGGTAAGGATAAGTGACTTATTTGAACACTTGTCTCAGTCTCCCAAATGCTTGCATCACAGGCATGTGCTGCCATGCACAACTCAAAGCAACTGACATAATAAATTTCACCACTCATTATTTAATATTGTAAATATTTTAAATATTCTGTGAATAACACATCAGAGATATATGTGCTTTCACATTTTTTTAAAGCAACAATCATTAGATTATAGTTTCAAATTAACTCAGCAACAAACCCCACCTAGGCATCACTCATGTTACAGGAAGAAGTTGTTTACTCAGCAACATGGACTTCGTGTTGTTAGCCTGGTGAGAGCAAGAATTGGGCTGCAAACCCAGAAATCCATGCCAGAATCCTGATTGATGTAGAGAGAACAAATATGAAAGGCCCAGACGCTGAGGGAACAGGAGCACAAGGTCACACAGTTCAGAGCATTGGCCCCACTGGTCCAATTTGGACATGGAAGATGAAGTACAATAAAGCAGCTCTAGCTCGGGGCTTCTTAAACTTCAGTTGCTTCAGAATCACCAGCAGAGTGCGTTTGAATACTGATGGATGGCTCCCTCCTTCAAAGTTCCTATTCAGGTCTGACTTGGAACTCAGGGCTTTCCCTTTCCTTACAACTACCTTGTGAGAGGCAAACTGGAACAGTGTAATCATCTTTTTACTGTCCAGAAAATAAAGCTTAGAGCACTCGGCACGCTGGAAGGATCCGAAAGATTGCTTTTGTTAAAGTGATGACCCCAAGACATTCTTTTCTGAATCACATGGAAGCATGCTGTTTAGAAACTATTTCTTCCCTGCTCTGATTCAATAATATTCAGGAACTACTTGTCTGGGCAATGAGGCTCAGTAAGTACCAACTCTATATGTGGAATCCCTGTGTCTCATCCCAGCACTTCATTGGAAGTGTTTGCAGGGATTCTTCCACAGTCCCGACTTTAAAATACCCACTTGAAGTGATGCAGCATTGCACTCGACACGCCAGCAATGAGTGTGATTTATTTTGCAGGGTGTGCAGGGGCATGCTGCACTTGTGGAGGTCACAGGACAATTTCGGGTCATTCTTTCCTCCACCAAGTGGCTTCTGGGAAATGGAGTTAGAGGATAGAATTTGGGAGTAAGATTTTTACTCTAGAAGCCATGTTACTGGACCTGAGTCAGAACTTTTTGAGGTGATGAAAGTATTCTTAGCCATCATATTACAAAAAAAAAAAAAAAAAAAAAAAAAAAAACAGCCACTATTGTCATTTTAACTTATTCATATTTTCTGGAAAATACTGAATTGTGCTGTAAGGTATTAGGGAATATGCAGACCAAAGTGAATAGTAGAATAGCAACCATTGGTAAAGCTAGACAGGTGACACAGAGTGGGCACTGGACAATTCAGTTTAATTTGGAATGCATTAGGAATAAAACAAACAAACAAAAAAAAACTTTTAGATTTTTTGTTTGCTTTATCCTCCTTATTTGGAGTTTACTCTCCTTTAAATTGGAGCAGAGTTCCTAGTCATTGATAAATGGTTTTAAGTTAGTCCTTCTCATAGTGATTTACCTTGACAGTGTTGAAGAATATCAAATCCAGTACTTGTTTTTTGCTGTACAAACTGCTATTTGTATTCTTACAAATCCACCACCTGAAGTCTACTCCTTTTACACCCAAAAGACAAAACACTTACAGAGGATTATTCTAGAAAAACAAACAATTAAACAAACAAAGAACAACCATAACCAAACAATGAATCCTGAAGTTTAAGACAGTTTAAGTTTAAGACAGATAATAAGCAAATTTAGGGAGATAGGACATACATGTGCTGAAACCGCAGACAGAAATGACAATAGTCACTCTCTTTCCCATTCCTTTCTGCTATATTGAGTTTCATATGGAAAAAAGGAGGCATTCTCTCTACTAGTATTTTGCTTACAGAAGAAATTTTCATTTAGTACCCTCTTAAATGGCATTGAGAAACATATTTGTTAGGCTGTTCATCTTTAGACCTAACAAGCCAACATATAATGATACTCTCAATTGTTATACAGTGGTTCACCTGTGACAATATAGGTCACAATTTCTACCACTATTTGAAAATGTATTCTAAGCTAGTGCCATGGCTCACTTCAGAAATTAAAAGGTTTAAGAGGCAGAAGCAGAATAATTAGCACAGTATGAGGCTAGCCTAGGCAACAAAGAATGTTCAAGCACAACCTCAATGTAAAGGAATGATAGAAAACTCAAATCATTTGGGAAGCAACCCTGTCATAATTATAGCAGAAGAGAATCATTTAAAGTTTCTCTGCCTTTTGGATAGGTTGGCTAAGGGTTTGTCTGTTGTGTCGATTTTCTCAATGAACCAGTTCTTGGTTTCATTGATTCTTTGAAGTTTTCTCATTGTTGTCTAATATATTGATTTCAGCCCGGAGTTTGATTATTTCCAGCTGTCTATTCCTCTTGGGTGTGTCTTCTTCTTCTTCTTCTTCTTCTTCTTCTTCTTCTTCTTCTTCTTCTTCTTCTTCTTCTTCTTCTTCTTCTTCTT